GAGTCTCCTTCGCTCTCTCACGCTGTTTGTCTCGTGTGCCGGTTGCAGGGTGCCAAGAAGCTCTGTCCCCAGTGTAACACCATCACGTCTCCCGGAGACCTTCGGCGCATCTACTTATGAAGGACCCAGCGGGAGGGCAGGACCCAGCTACTCGGCTCAGCTCATCACACCAAGGGGGTGAAGAACGACAGCAACAAAAAAAAACCCATAAAGACGTTTTAAAATTTAAAGAAAGAAAACAAACCAGAGACTCCAGACAAGGACTCAAGGATACAGGAGCAGTGGGGAGCCTCTGCTCCCAGGTCCCGCATGTTGAGACCTCCTTCAACATGTGCAGCGGGCAAAACCAAACCCTTTGTTGTGAAGCCCCCTTTTTTAAAACCAGTATTCCCCCTCCACCTGTTCCCTGGAGCTGGCTTTGCATCGTGGATGGCTCACGAGCCCTCCTTTGGACTGTGTCGTTGACCACTCTGCCCCCAGGAGACTGGGGAAGGGACCCTCGACAGAAAGATGTTAAATAACCTGTAACTTGTGTTCTTTGTTCAGTTTTTTGTTCTGTTTTTATTTGTTTCGGTTTGGTTTTTGGTTTGGTTCTGTTTTGTTTTTTTGTGGTGTTCTAGTGATAAAAAAAAAGGTTTAAAGAAAAAAAAAAAAAACACACCCAGGCAGAAATGAAGCACATGTAATATAGATTATATATGTTTACAATGTTGTGTATAAATGGGATAGACTCAAACATTACATACTAATAAGTTTCCCTTTCTTTTTTTGGGTTGTATTTTTTTTAAAGAAGAAAAAAAAAATGAGCAGAGAACATTAAACCCATATTTTTCTTGGTTCAGCAAAGTTTTGGCATTAAAGTCATTAGTTTAAAAAAAAGTATATATATACATATATATAATATAAATGGTTTAATGTTCTGTGGTGTATATTTCCTCATTCAGATATGAAGTTAACAGCTTTTAGTAATGGCTGTAGCATTGCCCATAACTTACAGAACTTATGGGGAGTAGAGGAGGTGGATTTTTGTCATTAGTTGTAGCTAATGGGGCTATTTATAATAGAATCATTATCCCCGGGAAGACACGGCTTTTAACTCCTCACCAGGGGACCAGGGCAGGGTGGCAGGGATCTGGCTGAGCCCCTTTTTGCCTTTCCCACCTGGGGAAGGGGCAAATGCTTGCCAGGACACTGTCCCCCTCGTGTCCAGGACCGAAGCCCCTTGCCCTGCCCAGCTTTGCTTTTCTCCTTTGCTGGCTGAGGATGCCCAGAAGCCTCTCCCGGTGCCCACAGCCGAGGCAGGACGGTGGCAAGCGGTGGGCACCATCAGAGGGTGGCAGGGGACCATGCTGGTGGCTTTGCCCAGGGAGGCTGCTCTGGTTTCCCCGCGGTGCTGGCTGGAGTGAGCCCCCCGGAGCCAGACCTGACCCGGGTC